ATGCTGAGGTTGTTTAGGCACAAAAACTTTAACCGTTCGTTCCTCAAAGGCAAATGAAGCCAGACGAGTGACATGGTTTAGATTTTCTCACGGTTTGTTCAGAGAAGAACAAATAGCAGGTCTTGCTAAAAGTCATCTGCCCATTACGGTGGAAAATGTGTTGGCAGTGAGAGAGAATTGGCTCTAGCACTCGAAAAACAATTTTAAAAGAGACGGTCAGTAGTCGTTGAAAGGTACTGGTAGCGGAAACGTTTGTGGTGGACTTCTGTGGTATCACCTGATTGTATTCATAATGAAAAATGAAGTTGTACGATTGGCCAGCGGTACGAGTCATCCCCTGATGCAGGCCAATGTCCAAGTGGCTAACGGGACTAGCCCTTGTAGCCGCAGACCCGCTCGGCAGACTGCTATACGTGGCGCTGCAGATGACATAAGCGCCCCTGAAGACGCCACGTTCAAAGGTGCATCGCAGATCTCATCAACTTCAGAAGAAATGAGTGACTCCGAGGCAGGTCTGATGAGGATCTCCTCAAGACAGGACTAGACGCGAAAGGAGCAGCCTGATCCCTTAACACGTGCCTCTAAAACAGACGTTGTGTGGTGACCGGCGAGGTTTGTCGTCAATGGAATGGACGGCGGAACTGGAAGACGCAGTGGGTCAGCTCGGACATCGGTCACTAGCGCAACAGACGTAGTTGATGAGGGACGCTTAGCTGTTGTTATGCTCGGTGCATAAGAAACTCTCACCGTTGCGCAATCGATCCGAACATCTGACGTTCGCTGCGGGCAGCGTACGAATCCACGAAATCGACGTGACAAGTGCAGGGCGAGCTTCTTGGTTTGCAACAGCGTCATGGAGAGTCACTCAAGACCTTTGCAAAAAGAATTCAGCAGCTCTGACCAAAGCTCTAGCGAAATACCTCCCCAAAACCGAGAGGTGCCAAGGGCCAACACCGTTACAGTCAGTGATCAATCAGGAAGTTGCATCGGTTCTGAGGCAGCACCTCGACGACCGTGAAGACCAGGTCTTCAATTGTGTTGTGCTTTAGATGACCCACATCATGTGGGCCGGGGGGGGGACGGCAACTCGCCCTGAAAGCCAGTGGCCCACCGTTAGGTTCCGTGATCATGTCGAAGGACAACGAGAGGCAAAGTCTGCGGAATCCTACGACGAACTGCACGCGCTGAGTTGCAGCGACTACTAGCGCAAAAAGTGACGCAGATGAGCCGGAAGGAAAATAAGTGCTTTGTTCGGTTCGCTATTCAAATAGATCACCGATCCTCGACCTCTGCGACGAGAATTTTCTCATGCTACTGATGAGTTGTCATTGCCTCCTGTTTGTGCGACTTATGACAAGACAGTATATGACATTTTTTCAAGTTCAAAACAGTACAGGTACTTGCACGACACAACTCCGGCTAGGATTCGTGTTTGCGTCCACGATGCAAGGATTCACCGACCCTAGCCCCCCCTTCCGTTTTGCAATGCGCTATCAAATGAAAGACCTGAAAACTCTGTTCATGGCATCACCAACACAGAATCCTGCGCACCTGTTTGAAAAAGTAATGCTCAAGATGTATCTACAAGTTTAACAGTACGAAACATCTTACATGCTTAGTAATCCCACAGACGGAGATACCAGTACTTTTACTGCCTGCTTGGTGCATTCAAGGTGGGTTGGTCTTTCTCACTTCCTTTGTTGAATGGAGACGGAGTTACACCAGATATACTTAAGCTGCTGCTTGCCATTCAGTCAAGTAAAAAACATACCAGCACTTCAAGCCTGACAGCACCGTTCAACTGTCCAAGCTTTCCTTAAACCGGCACAATTCTGATCTTTCAAGTTAGTGTTCTAATGATCACTTAACAAACTTAACCTCACTTAAACTGACCTACTGCCAAAAGTGGCAATTCTTCATTGGTACTGCACAAGAAGATGGTTTGGAGGACATTTGAGGAGGGACTGAGGTGCCAGTCACGTGCTTTCTGAGTCATCCAGGAGAAATTTCGATGCTTACTAATGTGATCTAATGTGTTTCATGTTTATTTTACAATACTTTTTCGTTACGATGTTCATGCTAGGCTTTGGCAGACAAAGGCAGCCGCCCGTTTGTTATTAATCTCAATCAGTCAATCACTGTCATGGTTTTTTTATCGCGCAGACAGCATACTGCATCACTTAGCATGACTTTGTGCGGGCTAACACAATTTGGTGACGTTTAATTCCTTATGTTCCGTGACGTCATCATTTCATTGCCTGCGTCTTATACGAGGTCGTTTGATAGAAATCAAACCTTACACTGTCTTTTCCGAATATTAATCATTTCATTTCGTAAACTGATGAATTGCTTCATTTCCATAAAAATAGTTCTAGAC